CATTGTTACTATGGGTCAACCTGTATCCCTATTTAAGCATTTTGTTTTTTTTCCCTTCCCCTCCCCAAATTAGAAAAGTGTATATGCAAGATGCAGGGCACCAACATCAAATACAGTAAAAAATAGGGGCTATACCATGGGAGAGAAACATACCAAAGAAACAAAAATATTACATAATACATTATAAATACATTAAAAAGAAAGAAAAAACCACTTGTGTCCCAATCTTGGAGTTCATTTCACTTAACATCATTTTATAGGGTCATATGTACATAGCTTTTGACCTTTTCTGCTTGTCCTAGACATATACTAGTTATTGTAAATAAGGGAACCCATGGGACCTATGTTTCTTTGGGCCTTAATATACTTTTTTCCAAGTCTTTCCATTTCCTAACAAATTGGGCAATGTCATTCTTTCTGATGGAGCCATAGAATTCCATTGTGGTTGTGTGTGTGTGTGTGTGTGTGTGTGTGTGTGTGTGTGTGTGTGTGTTTGTGTGTGTGTGTGTGTGTGTATCACATTTCTTTGATCCATTCGTCTACTTGGTTGGTTCTATATCTTAGCTATGGTAAATAATGCTGTGATAAACATAGTTGTGCCTATAACTTTAGTGTGGCCTTGTTTGTGATCGTTTGGGCAAATGCCCATAACTGGGATTGCTGGGTCATAGGGGAACACTATGTGGAGTCTTTTGAGGAACCTACATACTGCTTTCCAAAGTGATTGAACAAGTTTACACTATCACTAACAATGCAGTAGAGTTCCCTTCTGACCACATCCCCTCCAGCATCTCTTGTTATTAGATTTCTTGATTAAAGCCATTCTAACTGGGGTGAGGTGGTATCTCAATGTTGTTTTGATTTGCATTTCTTTTATGGCTAGGGAGGTTGAGCATTTCTTCATGTTTCTATTGGCCATCCTTCTTTCCTCTTCAGAGAAGTTTCTCTTTAGCTCTTTAGCCCATTTATTTATTGGGCAGTTGTTTCTTTGAGGATTTGTTGTTGGAGGATTTAATTTTTTGAGTTCTAAGCATATTTTAGATATGAGATGCTTTTTCATTGCATAGCTAGTGAAGATCTTCTCCCAATCCATGGGCTTTCTATTGATCTTGCTAGCTATGTCCTTTGCCATGCAGAAGCTCTGCAAATTTCATGCAATCCCATTTGTGCAACCTTTCTTTGATTTGTTGTGTTTCTGCATCTCTATTAAGAAAATTTCAGCTTGTGCCAAGGAGACATAGAGTTTCTCCTATTCTTCCTGTAATGTTTTCAGAGTGTCTGCTTTGACTTCAAGGTCTTTGATCCATTTGGAGTTGATTCTGGTGCAGGGTGATATATAATGATCTAGTTTTAGTTTTCTACAGGTATTTAACCAATTTTGCCAGCATCATTTACTGAAGAGGCTGTCTTTCTTCCATTCTATATTTTTAGCTCCTCTATTGAAGATTAAGTGACTATAGGTCTGTGGGTTCATGTCTGGGTCTTCAGTTTTATTGGTCCTCAGGTCTGTTCTTCAACAGATACAATCTAATTCAACAACAAAAAACTATGGGTTAGTGGACTAAGAACATCAAAGAGGAAGTCAGCAGACCAGAAATTAATAGTTTTAGGGAGAATTGTGAGGAGAAGGGAAGGGCAACTTTCCCCTGGGTGGAGCTGAGCTAGGCAGGTCAGGTTCCTGTAACCTGTTGAATGGCTCCTATTGTCTTCTTCCAAGACTTGAGTTGCATGCTAGCTGCTCTGGCACCGTCTTTGTCAGCATCAAAGATGGAGTTCTTCTCTGGTGGTGGGGGAGGGGCTACCTTCCCACTGCTGCTCTGTGAGAAGGAGTGAGGATGTCTTGGGGTACTCAGGCCAATCCCTTCATTTCCAGGCTATCCATAGTCTGCAACTGTTTGTGACCAGCAGGATGAAGATTTCTGCTCCTTGTCAGTTCTTTCTGGCAGTGAGTAGAATCATCTCGCACACCATGTCTGGTGCCTTTGTCCCAGGCTCTCTCTGTTGCTATGGCAGCCGTGGCAGCAGTCACCACCACTGCCACCACAGACACCAGCAAGTGTTCAGATCTGTCTCCTTAACCAAGCTGCCTAGATTTTTCCTCTCTGGCCAAACTCTGTACTATGATGGCACACTTGGTGTGACTCTTCGGGCTTAGGACTTTTCACTGGAACACTAAAACTGCTTTCTATGTGAAAGCTTGTTTAGCCTCCAGCTTCTCCTCCACCATCTTCCTCCAGACCTTCCCGAATTTTTTTCTTCTTTGAAAAAAATATTGAACAGATGTCATTATATTTTCACTCACACATACTAGATGTTTTAAACTCATTCACTCTATCTACTCCTCTGCATTATCCTTTCAACTGCTGGTCTTCATTACTATTTTCTTTTTCTGTCATTCATTTTTGAAGGCTGAGATTCTGCATATGTGACAATGCACTCTTCAATTCTCAATTGTGTTCTAGTATTTATTTCTTCAAATACATTCTAAAAGGCTCAAAATACAAAATTTTCAAATAAGACAAAAACAGAACAATCACTCTTTATGATGTGATGAAAATCTATCAGTACTCTCCCTGAGGCATTGGTGGTAGTGTAATGGGAAGTCTTCAAAACCACTGAAGGCCACTCAACATATAATTTATTGGTTCAAATTCTATCCAAGAGAACAACACTAGTGCATGACCATCTACAGGCCAGCACAACATCAGCCTCAATGCATACTCCCCCCCCACAAAGAAACCAAAGTCTATTCACTTATTCTAAATCAAAAATCAAGCTCTACTTTCAGCTTCCATGTCAAGTAGTAAACAATGTTTGCAGTGAATTCTGAAGGAATAGCTAATCACCCACCTGCTGCTTCTGTCATCCTGATGGAGAAAGCAGCTTTTCCAGGATTGTTTCCTAATAGCACAAAACACATGCTTAAGACTTGTCTTTATTATTTATTATTTATTACAGGTGATTTGTGCACCAGCTTTTGTTCAGGAACAATGGAAGGACAGCGTTGCCTGCCTAGCTCAGTCACATCCATGTTCCCCACTCCAGAGCAATGAGGCAGACCAGATCCTCACTGCTGACAACAAATTCAATGCATGAGAAGTCTCAGACTTTCCTAGGTTCATATACCACAAATCCACTGTTAAAGGTGGAATTTCAACCTTCAAGCCAAGGGATAATCCAAATGTTTATCTCACCTCTATTGTTAAGAAGAAAATGGAAGGACAGAAGAAAGAGTCTGCATCATAAACAGTCACCATAGTGCTCTAGAGATGGTAAATGAAGTCAAACACAAGGCACAGAATTGTACCCAAGACACAGTCACCATGAAGGAACTCTTCAGTTTGAGAATCCTGCAAATGTTGTGGGTGACCACACAACTATCAGGTGTGATTGTGAAGAGTTTATTCAGTAAAGAGAAAGTGAAGGCCACTCAAGAGTCTGAGCAGAAAAAAAGAGAGAGTGAGCAGTGGGCCCCCCAAACCACTCTAAATATTTTTTGGGGGGGTCTAGTCGTGGGGCCTG